CACCGTTTACTTTTGAGCTCTGTTTCAAAAACAGATTTATCTACTGTCAATTTATCAGCTTCTGTTCACCTTTTAAACTGTTTTGAACAAATAGTCCTCTTCACCGTCAATCATATCAATGCAAGTAGGTTTTAAGAGATCAACAGCTAACCAAATGAAAGCACTAAAATCCCCGATTAGCAATTTAGCGCAGTGCAAAAATAACTACTTAACAAGAAGTTATTATCCTGAAATCAACAATTCAATCATTCGTTATCCGTCGTAAAATGCAACAATTATCTTTACTCGGTTAACCCCTATGTTTCTTCTGGAATAAAAACTAGTTTAACAGAATTATTTAGCATTACGAAGGAAGAAATCTGTTGCAATAGCAGTAGCAGTAGCAGTAGCAGCTGCAGCAAAAAACTTAGAAAATACAAGTAAATTTTTTTTTGGATTCCAAAATCCAACTTTTGCCTCTAAATGATCTCGAATCTATGCATCAAAATTGCAGTCAGCTCCTTGTGTAGAAGGCAGAAAAACAGATTACGGTTAACAGCTGCAAAATTAAGTAAAATCAGTGTTGTCAACGAAATACTTTTAGTCTTTTTGTCACGTTAATAAGAGAAGTTTTCTAAGCAATTTCTTGTCAGGTTTTCATGTACACAAATACACGCATAAACATTCAAACGCACACACACTCACACACAAATGCATACACGAATAGAGGTACTCACAAATACCTGTTAAAAAAAAAGAAGAGGAAAGTAGTGCAAAAATGTGCTGGAATGAGGAATTAAGAAACTTGAAAAACTTAGCTGAGATAATAAAGCTGATGTTTAATCCAAAAAAAGCAAAAAAAAAGCCACTTTTGAAACTATGTAGAAATTAAGCTTTCGTCAAGATCTTTCCAGATTAACGAGAAGTAACATAGACAGGAACAAAAAAATGAATTGGTAACATTCATCTTCTTCTCCTTTTCGTTTTTTTTTCTTTCATACGTTCGGTCATTGATTCAGTCAGTCAAAAAACCACCTCCTCCGTATAATAATGTCATCAAAAGGCAAAAAAAAAAGAACACGACACAAATTTTGCAACATATCTTTAGGACTCGAAATGCTTAGCAATTTTTTTGTTTTAAAACATCGATATGCACACACAAACAAAACGATCAAACAAACATACACTCGTAACACACAGACCCTATCCTATCAGTAATGAAATAGTTGACCAAAACAGGAAGTTGTCTCCTGATGATAAAAACCAAAAGACGACAACTTTTACTGTCCCAAAATGAAAACAACCCCCGCTTCTGTCTGGGTACAGCGTACAGTGGCCAGGCTAACTTTGGCGAAACCGATTGTCATCAATTCCTGCAATTAGTTTTCGCGTCATCATCGTCCTTATCGTTGCCACTTTCAGTCGACCGTTGCCGTTATTGCAGCTTCAGTTGGGAAAACACCTGAAAAAGTTTTTTGAAGTCAAGTGCAAGCCCGATGGTTTAAAAACACAGCTTTTCATTGTTACGCACAATGATCATAGACGTTAATCTATGACCCATCAAAAATCATCACAATTTTTCTATGCGAAAAAAAAAACTCGAGGAATTTCTAACACATTTTTTACTCAACTAAAAAACGAAAGCCGAACAAAATGACGAAAGAAACAACAACATTCACCAATGCCAACGGTAGCGGATAAATTTTAGAAGAGGTTTTAAATGTTTTCAATTTTTTGCCACAAAATTTTCACATTTATAGCGCCTTTTTTTTTTCACCTATTGATCTATTCTCAACATCCAAATATCTTCCGCCTACTTCTGTCATTTCACTTTTGACGTATTCACAGGAGCAAAAAAAAAAAAAGCAGCAGCTA